ATTTTTTCAATGCAAAGAAATTTGTAACAAAATGCAATTTTTATTTAAAGAGATACATATTTTACACATAGTATATTTTTGTTCGAATCAATTATACGATTTTTTTCAATATTTTAATTAGTCTTCTAATAATCACGTTTTCCATACGTACTTTATTTATTTGCATTTATTCGATCGCTGCATCATGACTTATCATATGACTTACTATATAAGCACGATTGGAACTATCGTCTGTAGAATTTCAGCGAGTCGTGCATATGTATGCATTAGGTACATTGTATGTAACTGAGATTTCTGGCCCGTGTCCTTGCTCGACAGTTTGTCGATAGTTCGTTTTTACTGCCAGAATGATGAATTCCGAATTTACTGTTATATGAAACTACGAAGAGTTGTTGATATTCCTATATAAATGCGTCAGTCGTGTGTCAATAAAATCGTAATATACAATTGCGTAATCGAAGATGAATTTTTATTTAGAAAAGTTTAGACAATTTTTGGCAAATATGTGAAAATAAATTGAAGAAAATCATATATAAATATTTTGTATTAAACAAATATCTAATGAGAAATTGTATATACATTACTCTTATCTAAATTTGCAAAACATGTTTTTAAGGATACTCCGTTGTTATCATCTGTTATTAGCATAACATGTACGAAAAAGTCTAACTGAAGATATTTAACATTTTGAACGAGTTTATTAAATTGAACATTTCTTTCTAATTTGTTTTTCTATCCTTCCAGTTTTCTTAAGTAGCTGCTACGAATGAAATAATTATTGCTTCTTGTCGACGACTTGTCTTATGCCACCGTGAAACGAAGAAGACAGTGAAATAACGACTTGTAGTTTACTTCGATAATTACCGTGCTTTAATTAGACAAACGCAGAGGGGTTCCCTTTAATTATTACATGCGAACTATGTCAGCGGCTCATGTAATGAACAATGAAAATAATAGTATATCGATCGTCCTTGTTTTTCGGCAACCTTCATCTTAAATTAGACCTCGAATTAAACTCGACCATGGCCATAATTCTAAGTTAGATCCTAAATGAAATTCACATATTTCTTTGCTTCACTTAAACTTTGTAGCCTGCATACACTGCTTGTAGATATATACAACATGGATATCTTGAATATCTGTGGACTATACGCGAACAAATATTTTGCGGACAGTATCTGTTGTCTTTCGCTCAAAATGGAAAACAGTAGATAAAAATCTACGTAGTATACTACGTAGTATTCGCAAACAAATTCTCTTACAAAGTTTTCTTTATCAAACGATAAGTTTACTTTAATTGTGGAAAGTTAGCAGTATGTGGACGTTTTCGAATAAAACAGTTTCAAAATTTATTGAAAATACAGGACGAGTAAGTGTAAACAGAAAACACGATAGAAAGTTCATGGAAAGTAACTTCAGACAGTCTACGAATTATTCATAGACAACGTATATACATATCTATGCACTAGATTTAGACAACGTAATTAATTAACATTTAAGTAACATTAAGATATTTTCTGATATATTATTTGAAACAAAATTTGGTTGTTTATCGAAAACAAAATGTGTTATTTATTTTAATAGTATCATTAATTTACTTCTCAAGCTCTCTTATGCGCTTAATAATTCAATTTGTATTGCTTTTATAAAAAAAAGATAACATTTCATATTTAATGTATGAGATGTAATTGCAATTACTGCATCAATGTCGTCTTTAAGCTCGTCTCTTAAGAATGGAATCAACTTGGCAAACGCCGAGGAAAACGCGTTCCCCTTTCTTAATAAAAGTCCGAGGCTCTCGGATGGGCCATGGGGCTTGATAAACACAGCCCTCTCACAACCATGACGAGCTCGTTCGTTCGCCTCGTGCTCATGAAAATCGAGCACAGCGGCATCTCGTAAAGGAGATACGGCGTTATAATTCATGAAGCGCGACGTGCAACCGGATGAACCATAAAGCCGGGACGAACGGCCATACTTGGCATAGTTCCGTTGTCATTCGCGAAGGTAGATGACATGCCCATTGCCGTGTTATTACCACCAGAGAAATTTCCTTTCCCTTCTCTCCCTTTTTTTGTCTCTCTCTTTCTCTGTTCTGGATTTAAATTTTTCTTTTAGTTTCTTTTTATTTTAGTTTTTTTAAAACAAAAGTATACATAGATAAAAGTAATGCTTAGTCTGCTTTTTCATGTAAGTATTCATATTATGAAATAATTTAAGCATATAAGACTATTTGCTGAATTTTTCATGCATGTGAATATTACTGTGAAGTATATACATATATATAACGCATCACACATGTATTAATATCGCTAATTAACCAAGTCATGTTGTTTTTCAAAATTTCTCATTTTTTTGTATAACATTGAATGGATGGATATAGCAAATTTGACTCGTTTTTCATAGGAATTATTCTTTTTATTCTTAAAAAAATTTTTTTAGTTAAAATGGGACACATAAATATCACTATCAGACCATATGAATATTTTTCATGTATGACAGACTTTTTGAAAATTTTGCGAAAAAACATTTGGCCATTTCAGCTATTTTACAAATCTTCGCAAACGCATGAGAATGTATAAGTCGTTAAAAAAAATTGTTGCGAACAAATACAGATATGCATACATATGTAACCGAATTTATCTGGAAATTATAAAATGTTATTTTGCTTTACATTCTTCTAAATTCTATCGCGACATGTATGCGGTCTTCTCTATCAAATTTCATAGTTGTTTTAAAACATTTTGCCGTATTGATATGGTCATAAACTTGAGATAATATGGCGGAGATATAAAATTAAAATTATTTCATGTTCCTCTAAAAGAAAGCTTTAAAATGAAATATAAGTCTTAATAAGAAAAAAGATTAGCTTAATAAGAAAAAGTATGATATAAAATAATTCAGAACGTAAAGTCCTAATATTTTTATGGCAGAGATATTTTTAATATAATGAAAGCGTTGATAAAGTAATTTATCATGCTTATATGAATTGTAAAATAGGAATGAAGCAAAAAATTCAGCGAATTTAAGAGCGTATTATCATCCAATCGAATATATATGCGCATGTTTGTTGTTTCTAAAGAAACATTCAGAGCAAGAAAGGAGTCTACTTTGTTGTTTGATGAATAAAAATTTATTTTGCAGAAATTCCTTCTGCGATGTACAGTGATGCGGATCAACAAGTGCATGGAGGGTCATGATAATGCTAATTGCATAAATCAGTAGACAGTCTAGCACATCCGTCTCTTTATTACTCGTTAACTCAAAATTATCTCCGTGTATCTATATGAACATTTGAGTTGGTTTTTTTAATTATTTCCATTTTTTATTTCTCTCTTTCTCTCTCTCTCTCTCTCTTTCTCTCTTTCTCTTCAAGTAGAATTTTTTATTAATCTTTTTTTATTCTCATATTTATTTGTCAAATTTGTTGCTTTCTTATTTACGAAATAAAATTACAAATAATTTTGAATATTAAATTTATGTTTAATAAAAGAAATTAGATTGAATATATACATTGGCCAAAAAACGATCTATCGCTTTTTATAAAGTGGTGAAAAAATATATTTTGCAATTAGCACGTGTCATAGATAATATATATCAATAACTCAATTTTTTTATATCAAGTATTAAAATGTTTATGTTGCGAAAATACATTTCAGTAGATATATTATAATAATTGTCGATTTAATAATTTATTGCAAAAGATTTGCGTATAGAATTTTTACGTTTGCATCTATGGAAATACGGCGACGATCGTATAGTTGTAATGCGCGACGAGAATACTCTCGTCATGTCGCAGAAAGGGAAAGATAAAGATCGAAAGTGCAAAGAAACTATTGTATCATCGGTCGTTGTCATGAAACCGATGCAATTGCCGTTATTTGTTCTCGACTTGTACTCACCGGTGCACGAGATCTCTGAGTCGTTTCACCTTCCGAATGGCTTGGCACTCTCGTTACCTCGGTGAAGGGGTTGGTGTTTATGGCTAGTGGGGAGAGGAAATGGGTTAAATACGATCTTGGTGCGTGAAAGAGATATATAGCGCGTAATTGAGAAATTTTCGTTCACAAGATGCAATATATATTATATTGGCGCCTCTACTTTATAATACCATAAATCATATACGTGCAAAATAAGCAGTAAAAATAATTTTAAAAAATCTTATCTGGGAAATTAGATATTGAAAATTGTTTGTCATATTTCTAACCAAGAGCGAGAATCATATATAATGATAAAATCGTAACGTTATAAGATATGTCATTGCACTTATTCGCATATTTTGTTTTATTAAAACTTAATTGTCAAAATTCAATTAAATTGAAAATAAAATTCCGGTATTTATATGGGTGTGCTTTTTTATTTATCGACGTTTAAATAACTAGTGTAAAGTTATTGCTTTATTCTAATATTGTTTTTTTTTTCTTTTGCTCGTGAATTAAATACTTCCATTCTCCATTCTGTTTTTATTCTTACGCAGTTTGGTCCCATTTTTAATTTTTCGGATCACTAGTCACGCATCACGAGTCTTTGAATTTTATATCGAAATTGTAGAGAGGAAAATCATGAATTTTTTAAAATTAATTAGATGTACGGAAAGTGTAATATGGATAATATACTGTAATTAATGCACATTGACAGATATATTTAATAAAACATGTGAAAATAATACTTTTAGATAGAAATACAAAATATAATCAAATTAATTATTTAATTATGTACATCCGATTTACATTATAAATATGGTTAATCAATTAGCATGTAGAACTGTACTGATGGCGAAAGAAATAGCTAATGTTTGTAAAGCAATAGCAAAATGTTTAATGAACAATGAAATTGAAATGCGTGATATAATTGATTAAATTTAAGTGAATGATATATACGTATTGTATGTATCATATGTATCTGTATATTATATCGTATATGATAAAATTTTATATTTTTAATTTTATGAAAAGTAATTGACTGATTTTTTAATCTGTTTATCTTTTGCTTGTTTTTAGAAGCTCATCGAGCTCTGGAGCTCCTCGAGGATTATCATGCCAAGTTAACGAGACCGCAAGACAAACAACTGCGATTAGCAATCGAACGTGTCATACGTATTTTCAAGAGCAGACTCTTTCAGGCATTGCTAGGTAAGTCAGATCATTGTAATGTTTTTGTAAATTTTTATACATTTGAAATAATACGCCTAGATATGCTGATGGCTGTATCAAAAATTTCTCTATTAATCAATTGCGAACAACGATCATGAAATTTAAGAAATATGAGTATTTAGTGATTAAGTTGATATTTTCACAAATTCTTCATATCAGCTGATCGATGATAAAAAATCAGTCTTATTGAGACGAACAGGATATATCGCTTTTTATGAAAATCTCACTCATAACTTGCGGTTTCAAAAAGCTCATAATTCAAAATTTTTTCGTGAAACGATCATCATAGTCGATAATGCCAATCGCTTTAGCTCGAAATAACGGCGGCTAATTATTGCGAGTATTTGAAGACACGCTTTCACAATAATCACTAATTATTTCGCAATTCTCTTTGATAGTTTCGAGATAGCGTGCAGTTGCGCGTTAAAATCATTTCGACACAATTAATACATTTCATTTGAAAATATACCTCTAAGAGAATTATATACGTTATGTTTTTTTCTCTTTTATTGATGAAATGTCAATTACATTCACTATAGTTAAAAGGTGGAATTTGCGATGCCTAAAAAAATTAAAATTATTTACTTATATTTCAATCGTGATCATTCATTCAATGAGTAAATATCCATCGCATTCAAAGCAATCCCTGTATATCTAGGAAAGAATTTACAGAAATATTTTATCTCTTTAATCTTCTGAAAATTTGATAAAAATGTAACGTAAACGTCAAAATACCAGATTTAATTGAAAAACAAATTAACATCGGCACGTACGTTGAATCGTTCTGTAAAATATCGACATATCTGAAAGTTCTTTCTGACCGGAAGAAAGGTGAATAGCAAGAAAGAATCAAATCTCCAACTTATCATTATTTATTAGAAGTGGCGCGCGTCGACCCTCGAAGATTTTTCGCGTATTATTGCGTGAGATACGATAACGATTTATTCCTTCTTGATTCTTCTCGCAACCAATATTTCTTTTCCTCTTTAAACTTCGTTCCATTTATTCTCGAAGAATCTCAAAAATACGCAATACCACCGGGTATATTATAATCAATTTTCTCGCAGAAGCGAAGTTGATACAGCGCATTGTTGTTACTCGGATAGCTCGCTCACGCGTCAAATCGATTTGCACCGAAAGTCGTTCCTTTCATTTCCGTCACGTCCATCACACAGTTGTATTCGTTACTTTGTTTCAAACTCGCCATCCGGCCGAGCGGCTTCCGCATCGGAGATTAGTCAAATGTATCTGCTGCGAGGCCCATGCACCCCCACATAATACGTTGCGTCGCGACCGGTGTGTTGCTAGCCGATAAACTGAGCGGACTCAGGCTCCACGGCTTGTGTTCTATCAGCTTTTGGGACAATAGCGTCAAGATTATACGCCCTACCGAGACTGTCAAGTGACGGATGCGATGTGACGAAGTTGCCACCCGCTGGCCGCGAAATTAGCCGGGAGATTAACGTGTAACCGGTTCCGTCCAACTATAATATGTCATACCACGATCCACGAACGTGTTCATTGTTTTTCGCTCGATTAGCCGAACATATAATGGCTGAGAATCTCTTAATACCTTTAGCGAAGTTGGAGCACCTATATAACATTTGTTTTCAAAATGTATCGCAATTTCCAGATGTAAATTTGTTTTCTTTAACTATTTTTAAGATCGAGTTTTGTTTTCTCTTGTTAATTAAACTTGAAAATAATCGAAAATAAAGTTAGAAAGACGGTAAGAATATCCAAGGTAAATTCGAAATTAAAGAAATAAAGAAATAAAGAAATTTCTGAAAAATAATTCTTCAATTATTTCTTCAATTTATCATTCCTTATTGCCATTTTTTCATTTTTTTCTACTTATTTTTCTAATATATATATAAATACTATAAAAATAATAATATGAAAAAGAAACATCTTTAATATATAATTCTCAGGAGAAAGATTTCATATCTTCATGATATATATATATATATATATATATATATATATATATATATATATATATAGAAATAAATTCTGGAAACGTTGAAATTCTGCACGTTTTTATTCTTGTCACACGCGTTTTTTGTATTCTCAAATTATTCGGACAAATTCTGAACGGAATACGCGATGATTTTGGAATATTCGAGTGGAAGAAAATTGACTCAAGTGTGTGTTACCAATCGAGATCTCATGATATAGTTGATCTCTCTCACTGTGTGTCCAGAAATTCGCCAGTTTAGAAAAGTTTTTTGAGATAGCCTGAGGCGTCGACAGATGTCGATAGATAAAGTGCACTTGGTGTACGGTGCACTTGGGGCTACTCGAGCTCCACTGCAAACACAGACTAGCGAATTTAAATTTGCGATCGGAAATCTCCAGAGTGTCGCTTTATTGATCAAAGAAAACGCGACTTGTGCGCAAAATTTCGAACAGATGTGCGAAGATGCGCGTCAATTTTATTCAAATGAATTCAAATGAAAAGAGAACTCAGAGTATTGCTGTTTGCGAAAAAAAAAACTATTTTTTTTTGCGAAAAAATAACTATTAAAAAAAGAAAATTCGCGACATAAACATACATCTCTTGTTTAGGTATATGTATTCATAACTTTTTTATAATCTTATTTTGAATTTTAATTCAATTATCTAGTGTTCAAAGTAACTTTAAAAAAAGAATTTCCAATATCGAACAACAAATATAAAAATGGCGAAAAGGAAATATCCAGAGACTATTTTTTCGCTGATAAATTGTTGGAATTAAAGATCGTTTGTATTTTTCGACAGGATTAAATTACGAAATGCCGCACAAGCAACTACAATTGCACCACCGTTATTAAACGATATGAACAAAACGGCTTAAGAATCTCGTCGATTTAACGAGATAACATTTATTCGATCGTGTTATTTCGTTTATCATTTTATTTCTTTCGATTTGCTGTACAGGATCTAATCGTGATGCAAGTAGCAAAGTTTCGTTACATATATATTAAAGTGGATAACGACTCTCGTATCTATCATTGTTGTAAATTATCGGTGGATTGTATTTTGAAAACGCTATGTGTGTGTATGAGAAAGAGATGATAAATGATTCTTATTTATTACATATAAATTGAAATTAGTATAGAAATAAAATTATATATTGGCCATCAGCAATTTTTTAATATTGAATTGTCAATTGGAAATCGCGAAATGTATATCCGCAAGAATCCTTATACGTACCATCGGATACTCTGTCAATTGGAACGACGTTGAGCCGTGTCCCAAAACTAATTTTGAGTTTCGTAGCTGTTGTAACTTCGTTATATACTTGGTGCTATCTTTATGACGTGTAATCCTGTGACTACCAGCCGCGAAACTCGAGATGTAACACGTAACATCGACGGATTACTTCATTTATCTTTTGAAAATTAATGGAAAAGAATTTTTTGAGCTCGCGCTTTTTTCATATTCTATATCATTATGTCGATTCTTCATTGGCAGATCGAAATTACTAACCGTAATCCGTGTGATTCACTTTCATCAGGATCGAAAAAGAGATAATGACCTCGATTTCTCTTGCTTCTCGCATCTTATTCCTTTTCTCCACATTTCAAATTCACGACTTGTAATCCGTGATCAGCATTTATCTAACACTGTTTTTTAAGCTAAATCTTAAGTCAACGAATGTCGCATCCCTGAACGCGATCTTTTTCTTTTAACATTGTCTGCTTTTGCAAATATTTATTATCAAGTTTCATCATCGAGAATTGTAAATCTTGTCGAATTGATCTCCCGCGATTCATATTTATCTTGATACAAAATGTCAAACATGATGAGTGAAATATAACAGATACATATATTTACAACAAGTCAGCCAATCGGAAGAATCAAGTATCTGGATGGTAAATTTGAAATGCATGGGAAATGGAAGAGAAACGCGGCGCCGGATTGCGAAATATGTATTGCCGTACGCGAGCGGGCGAGATAACCGAAATTTGTCAACCGGCCATGCCTTGTGTCCGGCGCATCCGCGGGCTCGTATTATAATATATTACACTCGGTCATTCACGCGTATTGCGGTTGTGCGTTCTGGTCACGCGTAATAGGTCGCGACGAAGTGTGCCGTGTGAGTGCGCGACAAACGCGTATAAAACGTGTCCAACAGGTAAACCAACGCGTGCACCAACACGAGCCGCGTAGATGCATCCGTGCATCTCGTGGGTGCTTAATCCCTATCTGCCCGACAGCGCAGGACGCACTTGTGAATTTGGCGCTGTTTGCGGAGTCGGATTGCTCGCCGAACACGAATGCACAAATCTGACAATTTTTATTTTATCCTCAAACACAGATGTGATCTAAAATTGGACTATGCGTACAGATTATGCGTCTCACAGGTGTCTGACTTTCGAGATATTTATTCTTCTTTCCACATGCATATTACAATCTTCTATCTACATACATTTACATAAATTTACATATATCCTTTTCTTATCTTCCTTTCGGAGTAATTTAATTTTCTAAGTTCTTTCTAAGCGATTTAATTTTCTAAATCAGACGTGATTCAGTTTTAAATGCGTTTGCTTAAGTTTTACGAGTAATTTATGAAAATTATTTAATTGCATCGATTGACAACGAAGACAAAAATTCGTCTCGATGATGAGAAAAATGAGATTAGAATTGCTTTCGGAATTATTTCTCGAAGGTATGAAAGAAATCGCGTTAAAATTAATTATTTCCATTCATAGAAAGTAACAAAAGCGTCAGCGCGGTATTTCTAATTCATTGAGCGGTTTGCTGACCGTTCGGGCCGTTAAGGTAAACTCTGTTCTTTTTTCTTGGAATAAGAGGATGATGGGCGATTTGGTTTACCTTAAACTACCGAGCGACTGCAGCGAACGTAGAATATTATATTCACGATCGAACGCACAATTTCCTCTCTTCTCCCGCGCATTATTACCATCCACACTCTATGTTTTCACGAAGTAAACTCTAGTTTTCTTAGATACAAGCTATAGATTCCACTATATTACTCGAGGGAATGTCATGCATTTTACCGAGATATTTTGCTATCAGCTTGAGAAAACGTTGTCATCGCTTTTATTTTTGTGTTCGTAATGAAATACGTCGACGCAATGACATCTGTGATGATTTTTGAATTTTAAAATATAATAACGCGAAATCGCAATATTATTTCATGGACTTTTATATAAATTGTTGCGTCGTTTAATTGCCATTATAACGCCATATGTGCGTGCAAATCGAAAAATATTTATCTATATGCGTCATTAACAATGCGTGTTCGAAAATATAATTTTGATAATAAACGTAATAGAATTATTTTCCACGACAATTTGATTATTTCTTCGGGCATTATATGGGAAATCGGTTTCGCTTTGAGCATCAATAGACGTGACATTAATTGAGAAAATTGCAATTCCATCTGGCTAAACGATCTGTTGAACAGGACATCCTTTATAGCATATAATGAAAAACGATAAAATGAATAAAAGAACGAGAGATTTTTTACTCCAACGTTTTAAATTTCATCCATGTGTTAAATATCTCCTCGCAAATATGCATCGCAGATGAATCTTAAAATGGATCTTAATAGCCGAGCTGTCAATTCTACTTTTGTCTCGAGGAAAAAGGACGTATGCATACATTTTAGCACAATAAGAATTAAAATCTTTTAAAGAAGATTATTGCTAAAATTTTAATGACACCTTATGTCGCTTTTCTTACTCGCTTTTGCGATGATTATATCGCAAATTTTTCTCTTTCTTTTCTTCTTTATTTTATCGCGACATTATGTGCCAGAAATGTCATCATTTTTTCCTCTGCAGTTCATGCTCATTAATTTTTCTTCCGAAAATGGATGAAATGGATTTCTTCTATTTATTTTTCTTTCAATAAAATTCATGCTGTTTTAGCGCTATGATTACATTCCATCAAAGTTGTCATAAGATAATTGATTTTTTATATTAAGAGCTTTTTTATATTAATTCAAAGTTTAATTTATCAAAGAAGCACGATTAGAGAGTTATATACAAAAATCTTTAATTATTTTAATTATTTGTTTTTAATTAATTATTTTTTATTATGTTTAAAAACTATTATGTTACCTTTTATTTAAAAATTTTATGTTAAAGGATCATAAGAATTTTATTTGTGGACACAGTAGTTGCATTGGTGTTCTTTATGGAGAAAAATACTTTATATCTCTGTTGTATATTTTTCTCTTTGATATTTTTATTGATAATGTATTTATAGCATTTCGTTATATACTTCAAAATACAATGCCTTTCCAAGAAAGTTATAGTTCATATAATTTGTTATATCACATATTCATCTAAGAAATAACACAAAAACACAATTATTTTGCTTTCTCACAATATTATCCTATTTTTCTTCGAATTGCAATCATCTTCCTCTCCTTTCTCTCTCTCTCTCTCTCTCTCTCTATTTTTTATCTTGTTGAGTAAATTTGAAATAAACTCAGTTTCCATTCATTGTCCGTGAAATGCTACAATTATAGTGCTAAAAAATTATAAAAAATTATAAATTATAAAAAAAGAAAATAACGATAACGTCGAGAAAACTAAAACAAAAACAGGAAATTTCGAATCCAATTTATACAACAATTTTATTATCAAAATTTATGCCTAATGATAAACCACGTTTGAACGTGGTATGTAAATTTGTCTGTTAAAATGAGACCTCCATCGCTAATGTTATCGGAGCATTACAGACTGAAGGAAACTTCTTCATCCGATGACAGGGGATCGTTAGCATCGAATTCCCTCACTAGTGGTATTGCCATTGGTTCGCGTGGCTGTCGATTTGAAATTCAATCCATGACTCGACGCTGTTGTAAGATCGTTAACCGAACGTTGTGAACATTGCCCTTACAGTTGCTGCTGCAGCTGCCTACGAGGCGTAGAGCGGCTCTTTTGCGAAATTCCTGTCGCGCACACGTACGAGGCCACCAATTTAACACGATAATTTCGTATAGCGAGGGTATCATATATCGTTTTTAAAACGTGAGACTCGCTGGATTATTCCCAGGATTGGTGGTGGACGCGAATTTGCTCTGCATAAACATAGTCGAATGTCTATGTAAAAATAAAATATACAATTATCCGAATATGTATAAAGTTACATAATTATGATAGAAATGTTGTACATTTTCATTGTACAACTTTATTGTATAATTTTATATTTTTTAAATAATTTTATAATATAAAATTTTACAAATTATTATTTTTTTTTTTCAATGTATCATGATCTTTCGAGTTCGCATTCCCGAAATATTCCGTTTATTTATGGAAAATTATTTGCATATATATTTCTTCTTTTTCCCCAAATAAATCTAGTAATTCAATTTTTTGAGAATAAAAAAATATTTTCAATCTGTTATTCATGAATAAAACTTATGATTATCATAAAATAATGTTTTACTTATGATTATCATAAAATAATGTTTTTAATTACGCGTAATTACCTTTATCAGAGAGATTTTAAAGTAAAAATACATAAATTAAAAAACAACTGATACAAATTTTTTTCTAATATCTTTAAAAGCAACATCAAGTGAGCAAATTTTATCTATTTCAATTTTTATTATTCCGTCATCTTTTAAATTTACGTGCTTACGTAATTTTAAAGAAAAATGTACTTTTATTTATTTATACTTAACGAATATAAATTTTTCGCTGATGTTCGACAAAATCTCAAATATTAATGATAATCTTCAAATATTATCATAAAAAAGCTATCTATAATTTTTCATCTTTATATATTATTTATTCCAAGTACGATATCATACCTCGCATCGATCGATAATAATTATTATTATAACAGCAAGAAAGGAAAT